CAGCTTCCAGCTTCCAGCTTCCAGCTGATATAAAATAAATAAATAAAATTTAAAAAGTAAAATTAAAAAAGTGAAGTGAAGTGAAGTGAAGTGAAGTGAAGTGAAATGAAATGCAAGTTTACCTGTCTCGAATAATCATGGAAATTCTCTCTGCAGGAGCTTGTTTCAGAATTTTATGAGCTTTCTCAGAACTCCATCCAGCACAATTTTCACCACTGATTTGCAGAATCTGGTCTCCAAATCGCAGGCCAGCCAGTGAGGCTGGAGAGTTTGCCTGAACCAGCTGAACAAATATACCCTAAAACAAAATAGCATTTGCAAGTTTTAGATGATTGCAAATATATTTCCCCAACACATTAAAAACAGAAGAGAAACATAGTGAACACATTTGCTACCCTTTTTTTAAAAATAAGTAAGTCCCGAGCTTCTATTAACACTACATTACAAAGATTACAACCACCAATCCCTGAAATTTTAATTTCAAAAGACATATTTAAACTTAATAAAATGTATTAAGCCAGTATTGTATTATACTATTATATAATTTTATTACCCATGAGAATGATTAATTTAAAAAATGTTAGCAATTTCTTTTTGACTCATAAATACAAAACTTTTTGATTTTTTAAAATATTTCTTGCTGCCCAATTTACATGTGATATATTGAAAGTCATGTAGTAGATTAAGAGCTTAAAGATAAATTATGAAGAATACATCTATATGTAACAATTCGTCTATTTTAAATTCTAGCATGATAAAATTTATCATATATACATTGTCCACTGATTTAAGACGAAGACCAATTTTTCCATCCTGATCTTTACACAAGATCCCTTCACGGATCCCTTGCTTAATTTCTGCTCGACGAATTCCAGCATCATTCCCAGTTACTGGAGCTACCATGTAATCTGATGCAGGTCTTGCAACAAGCTATAGATTACAAAAAAACAAAAAAAACAAATTAAAAACCATGACAAAGCCTATTATCAGATATAGATCTTTGATGTAAATGGGCCAGACCTATGTGTGGTATCACAATAATATTTTTTAGCATCTATAAAATCACAATTACAATGATGATTACAAGACGAGCAATTTCAGGATCAACAAATACATCCACTGTTTTAACATAGCACATGTAAGATTGTTTTAATGATTTTTTCAATTACAGGGTAGGGAATACACAAGAAAGTATCCCATCTTTTCCTTCTTTTTTTCTTGAGCAATTCAATCCCTCAAAATCAGTAAAGACTAAAGGAATTCCTGTTCTCTGTAGTGACACTTACCGCCTGTGAATTTGCTGCAGGAATCACTGACAGGTTTCTTTGTATTTCGTCATCATTCAAACTTAGACCCATATATTGGGAAAGTTCAGGATATAATTTAGGATATAAATCTGAAAAAAAGTAAAAATAAGTGATAATCTATAATTGTTATAGTTGTATTTCTGCCCCTTCAGTTATACTCTTGGCGAAATCAACAGCATACCCCATATTTCACTAATCTCATCCTCTGGAATCTGTAAAAAGTTAACATGCTACTTGGAAGTACTGAATTCACTTACCTGAAGTTTACTTCAATACCTTAGCAACATTGCATTATCTTACAATGATTCTACACTACAGGGAATGAATGGTTTTGTGTTTGAAAACAAGACAACAGACACAAAATCTATACTGCATTCCTATGTGTTCAAAATTCCAAACTGAATGTAAGCATTTCAGTAAGTTTGATTTATTTTATAACAAATGTTTATATAGAAATCAATCCTATCATTCTCGGAAAATATATATATATATATTCCAAGTACAAATAATAAAATAGAAGATACAGCACACCATTGAGCTTTTTTTTTTTTTTAATTGAAACCTGCAAAATTCATTTGTTTTGAGATCAGACAGGATTTCAAAGGCTAGAAAATAAATATATGCTTGGACTATGCAAGTAAGGTCTCTAACTTCTGGGGAAGATGGCAGACCAAAGATGGCTCTGCAAAAAGCAGTGCCAATATTTACGGTCACAAACAGGGACCCAACATGTAGATCAGCTCCTTCAACCCTCTCTGGACAAAGAGAGCACACAACATTGCCCAAGCTGTTTTCCTTATGGTTGCTCTGCACAAGGATACTGCAAGATAGCAGTCTGCAGAGGGTGGGAGAATCAGGAGACAAGGGAATTTGCCATAATTGCTCCAGTCACAAATGGAGTCTTTTTAAAGGACACTAAGTTCATACTTCCTTTGCAAACCACTTTCAGAAATTGCCTATTAACTGCCTAAAAGAAGTCAGACACCTTCAAAGTGACAAGGCTGCAAACACCAAGTGAGTGCCTTTAATACTTAATATAATAAAACAAAGATGCATCTTTATAAGCTTTAAAAATTTAAAATAAACAGCAAAAAGCAAGACAAAGTTTTGGCTATAGAAAGTTTTAAATGGATTAACAGCTCAGAAAATGTTGGAATAGTGGATTTTGAATACTGAGACTTTGAAATTAACCTTAAAGTATAAATGCATTTTTGAGGGAAAGAAAAACTGTTTTTGATATTGGAGACCTAACAAGACAAGTAACTTATAATGGCAGAGATAACTTTGAGGAACTCTACTGGGAACTGCACAGGGACTTTGAATCAATTATGTCAGCTATGTCGTGTCTTCTTGGGAACAGTTTGTTCCCAGAAGAAGATATTACAGAAAAAGATATGCAACAAAATCTACCCGAGAACAACATGAGAAAGAATTTGAATAGGAATTTGTCATAACATATAAAGAAAAAAATTGGATGAGGCTTTAAAAATCAAGAAGGAAATAAAAACGACAATCCCAGAGAGCAATTGGAACAATTTCTTTTTGCTGAACTCACAAAAGAGGCTGTATAAAGTACTGAAGAAATTTGAAATAAGGATAAACAATCATCTGAATGGATTAAAGAGCAAGACTGTTGTATGTAAAAATAAAGAATATAAAGTCAATTTATTTGACCAGGGCTAAAATAGATATGTTGCTATTTTGGGTAGTTCTCTTTGGATTTGCTGATATCTGGACTGGAAAAATGATGTGTACTGGATTTGCTTATATTTAACATGTTGTTTAAGCTTTTTCCTCTATACTGTAGTTACTTTATGTATCCTAATTTGATAGCATTTAAACTGACTGTATTTAACTGTCTTTTTACTTAAAGTAAGGAAATTATTCCTCTTCGTCATGTTAAAGTTTAGCCTTTTGTTTAGATTATGATACTAGGATCACTTTATATTTGCTAAATGTGGATTTGTTTATAGTTAAAGAGTTGAGATACGGAATGTTTATTTGAATCATATGTTGTTATTTGGGGTGACTCTCTTTGGAATACTTGGCATTTGAAATGGAAAAATGTTGTGTATAGGCTTGCTTACAGTTAACATGGTGTTTAAACTTTTTTCCCTACAGTTACTCTAGAAAAAGGGTTATTTGTGAGGTTTTTTTTTAAAGGAGAAATGGTCCCTCTTCGTCATGTTAAATTTTAGTTTTTTGTTTACACTAGGATATCAGGACCACTTTATGCCTTTCAAATGTAGTGTTGCTTACAGCTAAGAGTTGAGATGTGAAATGTTTAGTTTGATATATGTTAATTAATGTTATTATTTTAGGCCTGTAGTTAAGAAATAAGTTATGGGATGAAGAGTTTTATATATATTAAGAGAAGGGAAGAGATTAAGAAATTGTTTATACACGATGAGGGTAGGAAGTTGCTTTCTTAGCTTTTTTTTCCCCTTTCTTGCACTTTTTTCTTTTTTCGTTTGTATTATCTTTTACTGTTGCAATTAAAAGTTTTAATAAAAATTATTATAAAAAATAAGATTTCAATAAGAGCAAAACATATAATAACCACAAGCATTTAAAACACTGAGTCCTTCTACAATCAATGAAATTTATACACAGTATTAAGCATTTTCCAAACTATTTTCATATCCTATAGCAACTTACTTCCATCTTGGGAGATGGGTGCCGAAGCTTCAGATAGAATTGCTGGGTTTGAAGCAAAGGATGTCTGAGCCTACTCAGAAAGATGAAATTAAAAAAAAAACATTTATGAGGATTAAACTACATAAAAATATAGAACATTTTACAAGTAGTCCTCAGTTAACAACCACTCATTCGGTGACTGTTTAAAGTTACAACAGTGCTGAATGAGTGGTACTTACAACCAGTCCTTGAAGTTCTGACCATTCTAGCACCCCTGTGGTCATGTGATTGTGATCCGGGTACTTGGCAACCAGCTCACATGATGGTTGCAGCATCCCATGGTCACATGATCACTATTTGTGACTTTTCCTGCCAGCTTCCCACAAGTCAATGGGGAAGCCAGCAGGAAAGGTTGCAAGTCGCTCCTGTAAGTTGCTCCCACCCCCACGGCTTTTTCTCCTGAGGATCCCAGCTATGGAGTACGAGATTCTGGGGATCTTGTACTCTGTGGTGTGTGCTCGCTTGTAGCACCTCCTGCCTGCACTCCATAGTGGACACCTGGCCATGCTTGTGCCACCACCAACACACCCTCCCCCCCCAGCAGCAGCCACTGACGCACTCTCCCTCACCTGGCAGTAGCAACGGCACATCCTCTCACCCCTGGCAGCAGCCAGCCCCAGCCCCACCACCTTCATGAAGTGCTGCAGTGGCCACTGGTTCATCCTCCCCCACTCAGAAGCAGCCACCCCCCACCCAGTCATGCTAAAGCAGCCATTTACCTGCCCGCCAGCCTGCTTGCAAGCCACCTGGGGCTTGTGACTTCCTGTCAGCTTCCCCATTGACTTTGCTTGTTGGAAACAGGCAGGAAGTTGCGAGAAGGTCCTCACTTAACAATGGCAACAGGAACTTTCAGGATTGCCATTGCTAAGCAATGAGGTCATATGATGTTGCGCTTTACAACTGCATTGCTTAGCGACAGAAATGCCCAATTACTGTTAAGTGATGACTACTTGTATGTTTTTAAACAGTAATGTATATGTTAATCACATGTGAATGAAGTGGATTTTATTAGCATTTGTAGTTATTTGTTTCTTCATTATGCAAGACATAATTTTAAGAAGCAAGTCTCCAAATGCTCAACTAGATCTGAATCAACAGTAAGAACCTTTCTTTATTTTATTTTACTGCAGTCACAATTGGCTGCAATTTGATAAGTTAAATTCACATAGGAAAAATGGGAAGACAAAAACTTTGGAAAAGGAGATATTGATCAGAGAATCAGTGAGATAAAGCGAACACTGCTTTCCTGTCTAAAACATCTTTGAAGTTAAGCAAAAAACAAAAAGCTTAACCCATGCCCCACCCATGTTATGCCTAGCTTCATTGTAATAACATTGTATCCTATTTCCTGTTCTATTTGGCTGTACAAAACATAAAAATACTAGATGTTGGGCTTAACTAGCATGTAGCAAAAGCAGCATGCATCAGTGTCATTTACAGTCTCTACTTCTATGTGCACAATGACAATACAATGATGATAGAGAGATAAAGAGACAAAAAGGAATACTATCTTATTTGTCCACATTATGGTGAGTTATAACTTATAAAAAGTTAGGGTATCTCCATTTTCTTCCAGGAGCTGCAGCTGGTATAAATTATCTTCCCTCAAGTACTTAAGGCTGAAATTTTGATTCAAGATTACCCAGTCAGTTTACTGGCTGATTAGGGTTTAAACCCAGGTCACTGGAGTTCTCATCTAACACTAATCATTGAAGTGGCATGGAGAACTTTTGGCCAACAGGTTGAATGTGGTCCAAGGATGTGTCCCATCTGGCCTACATATTTCTCAGGAAAATCATCACCTCTTTCGAAAAGTTCCTCCATGTTTTCTCAGTTCTTATCTACAGGTAGTCCCCAGATTAGGAATACCTGGGTTTCAGACAACCCATAGTCAAGAATGGACCCTACTGTAGCAAAATTCAAATTAAATATACAGTGATTCAAGTTAAATACACAATGGTTCAAGTTCATTACACAATACTACTTATACAGT